AAATTTTGTTTAATTTTTCTTGAAGCAATATTATTCAAATTAATAATTCAGAAACTATTAGATAATAAATATTTTAATAGATATAAAAAGCATGAAATTATTTTATTGAAAATTTTATAAAATCATAAAATACAAATTTTTTGAACTTTATAAATTTTTTATTTATTTTAAAAATATATTATTAAAACGAACTAAAATTCTATTGATAAAATTAGTGTCTTTTTTTAATTATTGATTAAATTTTAAAGGTAATATTATGAATAAGATAAAAATAATAATGAAATATTTGATAATATTCTTTCAAATAAAAATATTTTTTTAATAATGAATGAACATTAGAATAACTATTGATGGTTTATTTTATCAACAATCATTGTTATGGTTTTTAGTTCGGAATCACGATTCGCAGCAATTTACGTAATAATAATTTAGTATTATCTTGTTTAAAAAGGCTTTCTGTAAATGCTTCGGAAGATATGCAGTGCATTAAAACAATAGCGAAAAATTAGGTAACAAAGAAAAAGAAATCCTTATCTTACAAATTCAATAGAAAAAACGATAGTATACATTTTATAAATTAATGTTATTTATATTCATCTTTATTTAATATTTTTTAAATAATGGCAAATCTACAGTATAAACGTTTTTAAATTTTTTAATGTTAATTTATAAGACTGAGTTTTTTAATAAACATCATCTACTTATGTATATGTAATTATAACGTACATTTTATTTAGTTCCGCGGTGATTTTGGCAATTTTCGAGAATTTTTAATCATATGTCTACATTCCTAATGATCCGAAAATTTCACACAAATTCGCCTGCACAAGTGATGCACAGGTGCCGCATAAGATAAGGAGAACTACCACCTTGTCACTTATATTTTGCAATAAATCTCTGGTCAATTCAGCACAGCATTGTTGGTAACACTCTTGATCGTATGATCTTCAAAATTAACTACCCGTATATAGTAATTAAATCGACACAATCTTGAATTTTTTAATAGTACAGTAGATCGCAATGTATACAGTAGCCACATGGATTTCATACTTACTAAATATGGCAGTCTGTTTTGAAGACAAGTTTTAGCGAAGGGTTATGGTTCGATTGCATTATGAAAATTACGCGAGTTTCCATTATAGGAGATGCAGGAACTATGCAGTGAATATAAATTTATAGCATTTTCGAATTCCTTACCCGCATCCTCTTTTTCTCAATTACTCACATACTCCCTTTCTCACTCCCCCTCACTCTCCTTCTCTCATCCACACACTCCTTTACACTCTCACTCGTATTCCTTCGCACTCTCACCCCATTTTGGATTTCAAAATGGTTACCTCACGCATCGCAGGAATTGCAGCGATCTTTTTCTTTGCTCTTTTCTTGA